TCAATGGTGATGGAGACTTGACTTGGAGTGGTGAACACACAATACAGAGTACAGATGATGTGTTGTAGAATTGTGCACCTGAAACTTGTATAGTTTTATTAATAAATTCAATAAAAAGGGGAAAAAATCCCTGAGTCTGAATGAGATCACTGAGGGAGTGAATGTAGATAGAGGGCTAAGGCCTGAGGGCATGCTAACATTTAGTGATCAGGGAAAAGAGGAGAAACCAGCCAAGGAGACTGCAAAGCGGGAGCCAGTGGGGTATGAGGCAAGCTGAGGGTTAAGTAAACCTGGAAAAAAATCGTGCTGAATAGTGCCCAAGTCACATGCTGGGGGGCCACAGAGAGGAAAGTAATTAAATGGTGCCAAAAAGCTGAGCTAGGCCCAGGGGTAGTACAGGGAGGCTGACTTGAGCTTAATTAGGGAAGGGCTTTCTAACTGAGCCACCCATACATGGATCAAGTTGCCTCAGGAGGTGTGAGCAAGTAAGTCTCTGACCCAAGCAAGTCCCAGGGGATGAGTTGCTGGGTAGGGGAGATCTACCTCCAGGGCTCAAGCATCTGATGGGCTTGGTACTAGACACCCCTCAAAACCCCTTCAAACTGGGGATGATCGCATTCTGGGAAGCCAATGGAAGCAACTGTTTGTCATAGAGTCTGGGGGTTGAGCTGAGCTTTGAAGGATAAGCAGGAGTTCAGTGGGGGGAAAGAGTGGGGAGGGGCACTCAGGTAGAGGCAGTATGAGCAAAACTCCAGAGATGTGAGTAAGCAGGCTGTGCTAAGGAGTCTGGTCTGATCAGAAGGGAGAGGTAAGTGAAGGATGGGGAGGAAGGTGAGGCTGGAAAGGATGGAGGGCCAGAAAGTAGGGAGCTCCCACAGGACCTGGTGCCCAATAAACACCACTTGTTGAAGGAAGGTAACGAAACAAAATAAGATTGTAAGAGGCAAGAAAGGAGGCATTATTTACTTCGTTCCCTTGAGCAGGTTTTCTTCGGACAGCTGGATCACAGACATCTTGAGGGCAGGGCTGCCCAAAGCTGTGTGTGCTCCCTGCCACCCTTCCCACTGTTCCTTAATGCCCAGCAACATGGACAAGTCCCTGAGGGACTGGGGCCCTTTCCCGGGGTTGGGGCTGTTCTGTAGGTTCACCATAAGGGGTAGGGGGCAGACAATTCAGTGGCTGGGTCAGCCCCTGATAGAAGCGGTAGACATACAGTATGGCACCATTAGATGAAGTCCCTATCATTAACCCAAGACTTCACAAGCTCCGCCCCCCGCATGCTCAATGCTCAGAATCCAGTGACCTCACCCTTAGGAAACAATGGGGCCGGGGCATGTCAAGGACTCAGAGTAACTGGAGAGATGGGTAGGTAAGCTCCCTCTCTCCAGGGCCACTGGCAAGATACCAAAGCTGGACCTGATGGATTCCCAACCGAAGGACCTGAGTCTCCCTAGTGGTAAATGACCCTCCTATTCCTGATCCTTGCTTCGTGCCCTTAGCTTGGGGCGACCTTTTGCATGGATGGTGTGTGTGGTGGGTCCTGCATGGAGGAGTGCTAAGCAGTTAAGCTACTGTTTCCTCTAGAAAATGAAGGATTTCTTGAGGACACAGGGGTGCTATGAATACCCTAGGACCATCACAACGGAATGGGTAGAATGGGATGGGACACTGGTGTCCCTGTCAACTGTTAAACTTTTACTTCCTTGATAAGCCTGGCTTTAGTGAGGTTCTCCATCTGGTGGATTGGATGGGTCCAGGGTTGGGAACCAGAGGCCTGACTAAGCCTGGACAGGCCATGCTCCCCTCCAACCTCTAGCTTTCCTTATCTATAAAGGGCTAGGGGGGCCTCTTAAGCTCCCTGGAAATCTAGCTTTGACTAAGAGAATGATAAGTCAATGAGGAGGGAGGGAAGGAATGAAGAGCGTGGCTAAGTGGATGGAATGACTAATGAACGGGTTAAGAAGAGGAATAAGAAACAACTCAGCCCCCAAGCTAGAGCTATCAGCCAGCTTGCCTCTTTTTCTTTCTTATTGCCTTAGTGTGGATCTCGCTGTACTTTGGACTCCTGGGGCTGTGTTCAGTGCTAATTGGTGGCTGCATTCTCTTTCTGCACTGGAGGAAGAACCTGCGGCGGGAAGAGCGTGCCCAGGAGTGGGTAAAGGTGATGAGAGCCACTACATTCACCTACAGCCCACTGTTGTACTGGATTAACAAGCGAAGGCACTATGGCATGAACACAGCCATCAACATGGGCCCTTCCCCTACTGTCTCCAAGACTGAGACTGAGGTCCAGACTTCAGATTCTCTGTTCGAGTTGGATAGCACTGAGAGTAGGAGCTATGCTGCTCAACAAAGCAGCACCAAGGTGGAGGCCCCTGTCCCTCCGCAACCTGCATTGCAGCTGGTCCCACAGCCTCCCCTAGCTTCCCCAATGCCTCGGCCCCAGAACAGCTCCCCACTCCCGATTCCCATCTTTCAGGAGGTGCCCTCTGCCCTCTCCCTGTGTAACCTACCTCCAATGCTGAACCACTCCGTCTCCTATCCTTTGGCCATTTGTCCTGAAAGGAACCTCCACTCCCCCTCCCTCCCCACACTGGCCCATGGGGACCACTGCTTCAATGCCAAGCCTTTTGCTTCAGAACTGTAGTCTCCTTTCACTGAGTGTGGAAGCTGGAGGTACTGGGACAGAGCTAACCTCGGAGGTGGTATTGACACAGGCTAGGGCCCATCTGGATGTCACATTATGAAAGATTAAAAAAAGTCCCAGGCTTCCTGGCGTCTCATTTGTTGTTAGGAGGGCAAAGTCCTTCCCCTGTTTGATAGGGACAATTTGCAAACCAAATTGAAGGTCACTGAGAATCACCAACACAAATGGGAATTGGAGGGTTGGTTGTGGGAAAACACTGAACTAGTGCTTGTGATGGGCTCAACAGTCCTCTACCCAGTTTTTACTTAAGACCAAAAATGTATGCTAGGTTCTGGGATAGGTACCCAAAGGCACTGCCATTCTGTGAGACATTAAGCACAGCTGCCACAAAGTGATAGCTGTGGAGCATGTGTGAACTGTGGTGATTCACAGTGACAGGTCACAGGCAAAACAGGTCATTCAGATCCATGAGCCACACTGCACTGCTGGCTCAATCACATTCTTTGTTAACATGTATGTGTACTGAGTTGGGGTTGTCTCTACATTGTTTCTAATATAAGAACACTGCCAACGACCCTCCACTTACAGATGAAGAGACAGTTCTCAAGGGCATTTGCCATATTGTTATACTAGAGGCCCAGTGCACAAAATTTGTGCACTTGGGGGGGGGTTGTTTCTCAGCCCAGCCTGCACCCTCTCTAATCTGGGAGCCCTTGGGGGATGTCCGACTGCCGGTTTAGGCCCAATCCCACAAACCGGCAGTCGGACATCCCTCTCACAATCCGGGACTGCTGGCTCCCAACTGCTTGCCTATCTGCCTGCCTGATTGCTCCTAACCACTTCTGCCAGCCAGCCTGATCACCCCCTAACTGCTCCCCTGCTGGCCTGGTCATCCCTAACTGCCCTCCCCTGCTGGTCTGGTCACACCCAACTCACTCCCCTGCTGTCCTAATTGCCCTCAAATGCCCTCCCCTGTGGCCATCTTATGATGGCCATCTTGTAACTACATGGGGGTGGCCATCTTGTGTGAGGGTGTGATGGTCAATTTGCATATCACCTTTATTATATAGGATTGCAGAGCAAGGTCTCAAATTTACATCTGCCTGGCTTCAAAGTTCATCTTCCAACCATCCACCCTGGTGTCCCTTCCGTAATGATACATCTGGTTAGAAAACACTTGGCAAATGATTTCTGTGTGTGTAGGATGGAACTAAGTTGATCCATGGAGTGGCTTGGGGGAAGTGAAGCCCCTAAAATAATATACAGAAACGTATCCAGTTTTTAAAAAAGATCTTTCCCTAAAGGGATTTATGGCCCCTCCACAAGGTAAGATCCACTATATGAGAGAAATTTTGTACCTTCTGGAAACGATCCTAAAAAAGAGAAACAAAGATAATACTAGCTATTTTGTGCCAGATTAAAGGTAAGAAAGCTCAGGTCTGACCCAGCATATACATTTTTTTCCTTTCACTTTGGATATAAGGAAATCATCTTATCATATTTGGTAAGATGCTCAAATGAGCTAAGCTTTATGTAGTCTTCCATGAGGGGGAAGGTCACCCAGATTGTGTGTGTGTAATCCCAGAATCTAGCCACCATGCAGAGCTAATTTTTCTAATATTTTTCTGTGCAAAAGAGCTACAGCCCCTATATGGCCTCTCTCTTGCAATGGATTTCAAGGCTACCCCCTTTTTTTTAAGGGAGTGGAACATTTCTTTTAAACATGCTCTTACACTGAACCTCAACATATAAAACAGCCCTAAGTGGAGCTTCTGTGGTTGATACATGAAAAGAGGCTCACTCATAACCTCCCCTCTCCCCTCCCAACCTACAGATGCCAAAGAAGCAGCCTTCACTCCTTCAGTCCAAATTCTGCATTCGAGGTAGAGTCTTCAATTGAACACTGTGCCCACAATCTGTCTCTGCTTTCAAGGGGAGGGAGAAATCCATAAAATCAGGTTTCAAAGTAGATATTTTTTTCTTTAGTAACCAGAGGTAGGGACCTTAGTCATGACACAGTGGGATAAAAAGTAAATGTTTTATTTAGATAAATTAAAATGGTTGTATTACTGATATGAAATAAGCAAAGTTCAAATCAAGCCATGGAAACCTTGAATTCACTCCCCAAACAGAACCAAAACTGCTTATACATTACCAAAATAGCTCCACTAAAGCAAAGTAGATTGACATTTCTTAATGTGAGAAAACAACAAGGTAGGTTAGGTTCATATAACAAACAATACACGCTCTATAAAGTGTCAGGAATACCCAAATGTGTTCTGGTTTGGATATGAAAGGAGGGACTGCATCTAGCTGGTGTTGGTAAGCAAGCCAATGAGGTGTGTAGCACACGAAAGCTGTCACTAAAAACAACTCAACAGCAGGCCATTATGAGTATGAGCCCATTACAGCCAGAAGCTTCAACTGTGACCGGCAAGACCAGCGGGGGCGCCGACAGTGTTCTGTCCAGCAACATAAAGTGAGGAAACGCCAATGGAGGGACAGTAGCCAGTAGGTGAAGAGTGTCCGTTCTTCAGCTTTGCTGTTTGAGGCACATTCCTAAGTGCCAGGCCCTTCTCTGCTCTTTAGATAACATCACAGTCATCTCTAAGCTGATTCTCTCTTCTTTTGGTTCTTTTCTTCCTACAAAACACTTTTGCCCTTTAAGTAAACATTATATCAGATAGTACAAGACAAAAGAAAACAAGGACCAAGCAGCAGTGCTTTGGGTAATTTGGGAAAGCAGCAGTAGGAGCTGCCAGAGTGGGAAGGTCAAAGTAACTGAAACCAAAACCAAAACCAAACTCACCACTACTGTCGACCTTCCTTTCAGAGCTGAGATGTGGCAGGTGAGGCTTGATTACAGTTTAAGACAATTTACAAATAAAAATGCCAAATTAACACTGAACAATAGGTTTCTGAGGCTCTTCTTAGGCCAATGAATCTGCTCAATTTCAAACAAAGGAGTTCAAGTGCCCTAGTTCTGCCTGGGAGATAGGGCACTTTCCCAGGCTGTGTGACAAGAGTATTCTCAAGTCTGAGGGCAGCAGGAACACCTCTGCCAAATTGGGTAGGGGGAGAGGATGGTACTATATACCTGGCTCAGGGATGATGCTAGCCAGACACACTTGAGGTGAGAATGGATGATAAATTAAAAAACAAAATGACTCCTCCACAGATAGCTCTCTGAGGCAAAAGAAAAGTACGTACAACAAAGAGTTAAGGTGTCCTCAAAGTATATGCCTATGAATAAGAATTTGAAACTAAAAAGGACAAGCTACATTACCCCCAAGTATATTTCATATAAATCAGTTCTCAAAAAAATACCTTCCAGGTAGACATACTATTTATGGTACAGTATATACAAATATAGCAGAATAATTCAATTTATTGCTAGAGTGTTATTTGGTTGTTACAAAATCCGTCAGGGTATATATATTAAAAAAGGGGGGTGGGCATGGAAGGCAGCCAGAAGAGTACTCTTCAAGTTACCCAAAGTGCTAATTTTATACCATATTTTAACCTTTCCAAGAAAGTGAAATAGCTCGGTTGGGCAAGGAAAAATATTTTTTTTTAAAGAAAGAGAAGCATAAGCCATATGAGGTAAGCAGACACATTCATGGGAAAAGACTTCATCTTGCTTTAACTAAATTTTTATATTCCTAGAAAAAAAAAACAAGGTTAGCCTATACCAAGCTGAATATCATATAAAGAAAAAGCAAAACAAAACCAGCCCTTAAATAGTTAAGGACGTTTGGCTGCATCCATGGCTAACTGGGCAACTTGGACAAAGTTAAAATGGAAAAAGTTAAAATGGAAATGAGTTCCACTAAAGAAGTCAGTCTACGAAAGCTTCTCTAGTTTCTCCCTGATGTGGCCTACAGCACAGCTAAGTTTTGCAAAGTTTTTTCCTTTTGTATTCTTCAGAGACTCCTTCTAAGAACACAGCACACACAGAGAGCATGGAGGTATAATTCCTTTTAGTTCAGGGTCCTGTAGTACCAGGCTATGGAAGTATTTAAAGGGAAAAGTATTGCACTTGCTTGCATTAGATCTGAAAACACTTGCTACCATCATGTAAAGCCCAATGTTCCAGGCCTGTCTGCTATGCTTGGCATTCTCTGGACATAAAGCTTCCAACTACTTCTGACCTGATAACCATGAAGAAACTTAATAAATAAATGTTCACAACTGTTACGGCCTTATCCCCCAGAGGAACATACTAGGTTCTTGGTTAGCCCCCATGTAAAATCTGTTTCCTGGGTCAGAATTAAAGGCACAGCTCTCCTCTAAAGCTCCTGGGCGGCCAGGCTGAGCCAGTGACCAGGGACTTCAGCCCTGCCATTCAGAATGGAGATAGTATCAGAGAGGGAAGTCAGCCACAGCTTTAAGATAGACTTGAGTGTGTGTGTGTGTGTGTGTGTGTGTGTGTGTGTGTGATAATCCTGCTCACTCAGGGAGGGAAATATATCTCCTCACTGGATAACTTTCTATGTTCATAAACCCTGAAATAGGATAAAAAATAATAAAAATGCCAAGAATACTCTCTGGTTCACAGATTGCGATTAGCTAAGGGGACAGAAACAAAGATATAGATCTTACTTTCCTGCGCCTGGAGGCTGCACTGTCCCCAGTATCCACTCCCTAAATATATTCCTCCGGCCACCAGACCAAACCCCATGGCAGCACCTAAAGGAGATGCCTGAAGGAGACATGGGCCTAGTTTTAGTCGCTACCAGATCAAATTAGCGATTTTTGACAAGCCATTTATTCATGTCCTGTTTCAAACCATTTCTCCTAACTTCCCACAAAATATGCAGAACTCTTCTTTCATTTTAAATATTTATACACAGAAAAAGCCTATCTTTTAAAGAAAAGACATTTTCTGAGTCTGAATAAAGTGCAGCTAATTTAAGGCAGATTTATGTGAAATATAAAAGGTGGCTTATTCTTACTATATACACTTTTTCTAGTTCTAAAAGATAAGGTCTCCTTCCCTCAAAAAAGGAAAGAGAAAGAAAGAGGGCTTGACTTTTATTCTGGCAATTTTAGAATTAAGATCATACTGGTTTCAGGAAATCATAGATTTCTGAACATCATAAGTAAAATGGTCTTTTTTAAAAAAATAACTTTTATATAGCTTTTTCAAACAAGTTAAAAGGTTGCAATGTGTCTGCTACAATAGTTTGGAGGATTGGAGGACTGATAGATAAATAGAAGGGTTGTTTTTGTTATGCGAGCAGATATTAGGTAGCCCAGGGTATATATCCGTTTCTAAATATGCCCAATGAGGCTAGACACCTCCAGCTGCTCTTAGCTCCAGGAATGAGTATCTTCCATCTCCGTCAGCATCAAACTCTCTCAAACTCTCTGGTGCTGGCACAGCAGAGCCTAAGGAGTTCCAAATTTCCTGGTAGGTCAGCTTCCCATCCATGTTCTGGCCAGTCTTGTAGAATAAATCCTCAAGATCTGTTTAAAAAAATTGCAAAAAGTGTTTATGTCTATAAATATAGCTAAATTTAGTTAACAGTTTAAACAATAGCCACAACTGAATGTAAAGCATTAAAAGAAAGCTACTTTGCAGACTCTGATTCCAAAAGGTAAAGTTTAGGATGTCACTAAATCAGAAAGACTAATTCTTTCTTGATCCTTGAGAGAAATACTGTATGCACTATCCTCCCAAACTAGAAGCAGTGATAGATAATCACAGGAGAATAAAATAGACTGGCCTTTTCTCTGTCCAGGGCCTTCCTTTTGGAATTTTCACATTTTATTCTTATGTTGAAGGGGTGAAAAGGACTAGAGAGGCTTAAAGAGCTAATTGACAGGAGCTGAGCTTGTAAAATAGACTCTGGCATTTTGTCAGTTAAACAGAGTTATCATGTAACCCAGCAATTACATTTCTAGGTATATATTCAAGAGAAATGAAAACATATGTCTACACAAAAACTTGTATACAAATGTTCATAGCTACATTATTCCTAAAAGCCAAATGGCAATCAATTGATGAATGGGTATACTAAGTGTTCATACAATGGAATATTATTCAGCCATGAAAAGGAATGAACTACTGTTACATGTTGAACTATGGATGAACCTTGACAACATTATGCTAAATGAAAGGAATATAATGCAAGAAAAAAGCATATATAAGTTTATATATTGTATGATTCCATTTATATATGAAATATTCAGAATAGGCAAATCCAAAGAGACAGTGGTTGAGAGATTAGTGGTTGTCAAGGGCTGGGGGAAGGGGAAAAAGGGAATGACCATTTAATAGGTACAGGGTTTCTTTTGGGGATGATAAAAATGTTCTAGAATGAGTGTGATGGCTGCACAAACTTGTGAATATACTAAAAAAAACTGAATTATACATTTTAAAAGAGTGAATAATATGGAACGTTAATTATATCTCAAAAACAACCAGAGGACTATACAGGGTGGGGCAAAAGTAGGTTTACAGTTGTTTGTATGGCAATTCTATAATAATAAAAGTATAATATGCTAATTAGAGCAGACGTCCTTCCAGATGACCTTCTGGAGGAAGCCGGGGCTGAGAGGGAAGCCTGGGTCCCGGGAGCCTGGGTCCTGGGTGCCAGAGGGAAGCCGGTACTGGCAGCCAGGGGAAGGAAGGCCTACTCTTGCACAAATTTCATGCATCAGGCCTCTAGCACAATAATAAAGAATAATACAATAATAAACTGTGTCACGTACTCACAAATATAAATCTGTTTTTACCCCCTCTGTGTATCTCTTCAAAGCTATATCTTTTCCAGCTAAGAGAGAGAGCAATTATACCAGTTGATTTTTTTTTTAATTTAAAAAATATCCTCACCTGAGGAGTGAGAATATTTTTTTCATTGATTTCTAGAGAGAATGGAAGGGAAGGGATGTGGGGGAGGAGAAAAAGAGAAAAACATCGATGTGAGATAGATGCATCGAGTGGTTGCCTCCTACATGCACCCTGACCTCGGGTAGGGGATTGAACCTGCAACCCAGGTACATGCCCTTGACCAGGAATCAAACCCCTGACCCTCTGGTGCACAAGCTGATACTCTAACCACTGAACTACGCTGGCCGGGGCTGTATCTTCTTTTTTATTTCTAAGATATTATTTGAGCCAATAGGATTGGACAATTTCTATCAACAGTTTCTGCTTGTATTTTCTCAAGGACCCCATAATGAACACTTATTTAATTTAATTAATAAATAATTAAAAATTATTTATTTTTTAAATTTAAATTCTTTATTGTTTAAAGTATTACATATATCTCCTTTTCCCTCCACTGACCTTTCCCTGGCCGCTCTCACCCCCCAGAACATGCCCTCACCCCCGCTACTGTCTGTGTCCATTGGTTATGCTTATATGCATGCATACAAATCCTTTGGTTGATCTCTTACTCACACCCCCTCCCCTGCCTTCCCTCTGAGGCTTGACGGTCTGTTCGATGCTTCTATGTCTCTGGATCTATTTTTGTTCATCAGTTTATGTTGTTCATTATATTCCACAAATAAGTGAGATCATGTGATATTTATCTTTCTCCGACTGGCTTATTTTACTTAGCATAATGCTCTCCATGTCCATCTATGCTGTTACAAATGTAAGAGTTCTTCCTTTTTTACAGCAGTGTAGTATTTTATTGTGTAGATGTACCCCAGTTTTCTAATCCACTCATCTGCTGATGGGCATTTAAGCTGTTTCCAAATAGAAGGGCCAATTATTTACATAACATTTAAAAAGGACTTAAGCCCTGGCCGGTGTGGCTCAGTGGTGAGAGAATTGGCCTGTACACCAAAGGTCTTGGGTTCCTAGTCAAGGGCATGTGCCTGGATTGCAGGTTTGAACCCCAGCCCCTGGCCAGGACAGATGCTGGAGGCAATCAATCAATGTACCTCTCTCACACTGATGTTTCTTTCTCTCTCTCTGTCCCCACTCTCCCTTCCCTTCCACTCTCTGAAAAGCAATGGGAAAAATATCCTCGGGTAAGGATTAACAAAAAAATGAAATAGAAAAGACTTGGACTTGATTATGTCCCTACTGAATGACTTAGTAGAGTTAGTCTCTACTATCAGAAGATAGTCAATGAGGCTTATGTTTCTTTAAAAATCTTCCTAAATTCCTTTCCTTTCTTCCTTTATTCAACTTCACACTTAGATTCAATAGGCCTCTGGCTGTTTGGTACTTAGGAAGAATAGTAATAATTTGAAGGGGGGAAACAGTTGCAGTGCAAGGTCTAGTCCTTCAAGGAGTTTTTGTAGACAAGCTTCTGAATAAGGGCCTAGTTTCACTCTTAAGATAGTCCTAGCAAAGCAGCTAAATAAAAGTCTTGAAAGCTAGAAAAGCAGGTGGGAAGTTTGTTCTCAATGCCTGCCACCAAGTGGCTAGCTGAAAAATGTTTTATTGTGTGTGCATATGAAGGATAAGTTAATAAAATGTGCTATGCACTTGGTAGCAGTACTTAAATAAAAATCTAATTGCTGTTCCAAATCATTTCAAAAGTGTAGTCATTCAAAAGTATGTAAAATCTATGTTAAGTACAAATGTTAAGATGGCTCGTTCTTAATCTGCTCTTAACAGACTTTCAACTCCATTCATTCTCATCAATTCTTGAAGTAATAATGGAGAGTGGGAGGAGGCAACTTGTATTGCCAATAAACACAACTTAATACTCCTGTCTCCCAGAAAACAGAAAGAAAAAAAAATTGCGATGGGAAAAAATAAGTAATTGTATTTAAATGGCAAAATAAATTTAGGTCTTCTATGCTTCTATTGTAGCCTGTAGATAACTCATTCATTTAACAAATATTCATGTGTACCAGCCACTATGCTAGGGGCTAGGAATGAAGTTAAATTTTATGTCTCCCTAGGAAATTACAACAGAGCGATACATACTAAACAGGGGCAAACAAAATAGAAGAGGTCATACACAGAAGGAACCTTATCTGGTCCTGGGAGGTAAGGAAATGTTCCCTGGTGGAATGGTATCTAAGCTGAGGTGAGGAGCCAGGCAAAGGCAGTGGACAGGAGTGGGGTGATTTTCCCAGGCTGTTAGCAAATGCAAAATCAGGAGACCCAAACATCACAATGAGGGACAGAATATACACTGTTGGGAGCAAGGCAAAGATATTTTTTCTGTGAATCATATCCTTTTTGCTAACGTTTATCTTACTGATTTTTCAGCTAAAGGACTCCTCATTTTTGGAGGGTCCTGACAAATAGGATCAACTTTTACTTTATTTTTCTAATCTTACAGTATTTATTATGTTTTCTTGTTTGCCTTCTCCACTAGACTTTTATATCTGTGAGGAATGTGAGACTGTATCTTATACTGTATTGTTATTGCTTAGCACTGGTATAATTAGGTACTCAATGAATGAATGAAAACTCTAAAAACATTACTAGAGAGATAATATAGTTCATTGGTTAAGAGTGTAAATTTTGGTGTCAGACTGCCTTGGTATGAATTTTGCCTCAATTAATTATTTGCTGTGTGGACTTAGGCAGTTTCCCTATCAGTAAAATGAGTATCATACATGAATATTTATGTTCCCTGAATTGTTAATCAGGATTATATAATACAAATGCATATCAAATATTGGCCCAGAGGAAGTGCTCAGTCAATGTTATACATAATTCTTTTTCTTGCAAGTTAAAAAAATTAAAAAGTTATAACTTTGAACATTTCCCTTATTACTCCATGGTATAAAAATTTACCTTTGATGCTAGCGATTCCTGGTAGGGAGATAGATCTTAGCTGGGCAGTTTTCTCAATGTCATCTCCAGGAGACTGTGGAAATTCTGGAAATGCTGATGGCTTTGATGTGAAACTCTGTACTTGCTCTGTAACAAATACACATGGTTTTAGTATTAGCAAGTCTGACACGAAGTTAAACCAGCATTGAAGGTCATCTCTTAGGATAATTGCATATATACTGAATTTAAGAGAAATTGCTGACAAAAAGACAACCTACTGAATGAAAGAAGATATTTACCAGTGATACATCTGGTAAGCGGTTAATATCCAAAATTTATAAAGAAGTTATACAACTTAACACCAAAAAAAAAAAAAAAATTAACAGTCTAATTAAAAAATGGGTAGAGGGCCTTAATGGACACTTTTCCAAAGAGGACACATAGATGGCCAATAGACATATGAAAAGATGCTCAATATTGCTAATCATCAGAGAAATGCAAATTAAAACCACAATGAGCTATTACCTCACACCTGTCAGAATGGCTATCATCAATAAATCAACAAAAAACAAGTATTGGTAAGGATGTGGGGAAAAAGAAACCTTGTGCATTGTTGGTGAAAATGCAGATTGCTATAGCCATTATGGAAAACAGTATGGAGATTCCTCAAGAAATTAAAAATGGGCCCAGCAATTCCATTTCTGGGAATATATCCAAAGAAATCCAAAACACTAATTCGAGAGATATATGTACCCCTATGTTCATTGCAGTATTATTTATAACAGCCAAGATATGGAAGCAACCCAAGTGCCCATTAATACAGGATCGGATAAAAAAGTTGTGGCACATATATACAATGAAATATTACTAGGCCATAAAAAGAATGAAATCTAGTAATGTTGCAGATGGACCTAGAGCAGTGATTTCAACTGGTGTGCTGCAAAAAATTTTACAACATGCAATACCTGACCATTTAGTGAGGGGCACCGGTCTCTTCTCCCTTAGATTGTAAAATAAAAAAAGACAACAGCCAACACAATAATAGCTGTCTGGTGTGAATGCCCTGCTTGAACTGTGAATATGTAGGTCATGTAAGAGTTGCTCCTTACTGGTCAAATCGCATAATAAGGTTGATTAGTTAATTATTGGTACCAGAAATCCTTATATACAAGTATAGGAACCAGTTTTTTAAAACGTCACTTTGGAGCAAAAAGAGTAGGTAACTATTATTATTATTGGTAAATAAAACAAAATTATATCTATTTTTTTGTCAGATTGGCAAAAAAATGTATTTTTTTGTTGTGCTGCAGAATTTTAGTATAATTAGTTTATGTGTGCTATGAAATGAAAATGATTGAAAATCACTGACCTAGAGGGTATTATGCTGTGAAATAAATCAGGCATAGAAAGAGAAAAATATGATTTCACTTATATGTGGAATCTAAAGAACAAAGTAAATGAACAAAGCAGAAATAGATTCATAGATACAAAAAACAAACAGATGATTGCCAGAGGAGAGGGGGGTTGGAGAACTGGATGAAAAGGTGAAGGGATTAAGAAGTACAAATTGGTAATTACAAAAACAGTCATGGGAATATAAGTTCAGCGTAGGGAATATAGTCAATAATATTGTAGTAACTATGTATAGTGCCAGGTGGGTACTTGAAATGTATGCAAATTACATGGTTGTCTAACTACTATGCTGTATATCCAAAACTAACATAGTATTGAATGTCAACTGTAATTGAAAAATAGAGAATTAAGTAGCAGAGTGACTGAATGAAGTTAAAGGCATAGATTGAACATGTTTAGGGCTAAGTGAAGATTAATCAGTATTATACAACATTAAAATTTGAAACTGTGGTCTCTGGTGTGGCTCAGTAAGGAGCTGTGGTCTCACTGCAAGATCATATAGCACCAGTACACGTTTAAGATGTTAAGAGTTTAAGCTGCAACTGAAAACAGCATTGATATTTGATATCCTGGGAACTGTGCTATGAGCCTGATCAGGGGTATGTGCCACCAGACCAGCTGGTGCTGAAAGAATGCTACCATACAGTTGTGTAGCAGAATGTTAGCACAAGGCCTCCCACTGTAGTCTGTATCCCACCCAAAAGAGAATAGAGAGGTTGTACTGCTTTCTTAAAATTAAAAAATACTTGTGTGTGGGGGGAGGGGTCAACGCCAACATAGTCCAATGCCTTAGAGTTATGTCCTCCTAGAGCTTAAACCAGTGGAGGTTGATATATCTGCCAATATTGACTAGGTATGCCCCTACCTAAAGCCAAGGGTCTTTCCAACTCAATGATCCCATCATCATTTGTTAATGGTATTTCAGAAGGACTAATAATTATTTTAAAGTAAATTTTATGCACTTAAAAATTGAAAAGACTTCCATAAACATTTAGCTGCTTTAATACATGCTATGACAGTAATGTTTTTTTGCCTATAATTGGATGCAGACAGCATGGAGAAGTCTATTTCCAGCTAAACATTACCCTTCTTCCCTTAATAGACTGGAGTACAAATCATGTACCAAATGGGCTTTTGCTAAATGAAAGCAAAGTGTATCAGCTTCATCTCAGTGCGCTCAGGCATCATTCACTGGGTTCGATCAGTCCTGCTGGAACACCTTTCCACTCCATGTGGGAGGCAAGCTGCTCAAGCCTGCGTGAAATATTCAGAAGCCAGCCCTGAATATCTCACCTTCATGGGTGGTCTCTGGAGGCCTGTTGCTCTCAGGCTTGTTGGAGAGAGCACTGATCAGCTGTAGTTTCTCCCTTAGCTTGGATACCTGAGAATCTGAACTATCTTCTTTCTGTCCAAAACAAAGATCACAGAGGTTTAAGTTGGAAACAAGACTTCATTTGATTCTTTATTATATCCCCAAAGCCTATTTAGAATGCAGTGCTTGACCCCCAGGAGGTTCCCTATCAGTACAGGCAATGAAGGGATGAATCAACAAATACTAGAGATATCTTCGGTACTCAGTGTTGATGAGGGCCTAGCTGGATTTGAGCCTAGACCATTAAGGGAACATTATGCTAGAGGTGATCTGATTCACTGTGAACATTTGGCTGATGGGGGAAGGCATGCCTGTGTCAGCAGTAAAGGAAATGCCCCCTTGCTCAGGAGCCTCTACGACACCTATTTCCTAAATGAGTAGCATATTGGTTTCTAGGAATGATTTCACACTAACTAAATAATTTTCCTGAATACATTACTTCACCTTGTGACTAGACCACTTTAGGTAGAGTTTTATGCTCTTATCACATTAAAAAAAAGCAAGCAAACCACAAATATTCCCCTGATCTTCCTTCTCTCCCCCCATGGTGATGATTCAACTGGTGGCAGGAACTGTTAGGAACATGAAGAAGCAGCTCTAATACTTTTAATTCAAAGTCTGATTTATATCTTTTTAAAAAGCTTTTACCTTTTACCCTGCCTCATCTCCAGGATGATCTAGACTGGCATATAAAAATAAATTTAATTATAAAAGGAGAGAAGTCTGGTTTCTATGAGGCCTGTTTCTAACTGCTTAGGCTAGGGTGAAAGGTCCTGATTCTGTGCTTAATTAGAATATCAACTCATTACATGTTTCTTTTATTCAATATATATTTACTTACTTCTCTGCTGCCTTTATTTCTACACTAATAGTGTATAGATCACTCTTGGTTTATTTAGGAAGCTAATATATGGACATATATAACTAAAACTAGGTCCTAACTGCTTGAAGAATTTATGATAAGAGAAATGGCATCTGGTTAGGATGCTTAGATGAGGCAGCACAAAGGGACTCATATATTGAGATGACAAAAAATACAAAGGATCTAAAAGTAAAACCAATAAATTTAGGCAAAAATGTGTGCTAGCTGTATTTTATTCTGATACCCTAAGACTTTCTTTGCTGGGATATCAGAGTATATCACAGATTGCTTATCTTGTAAATATGTCTGGGATGAACAATAAAACAGAAAGGTACAAGGTGAAGGGAACTGGCTGAGGCTTAAATGGACTATATAAGTTCTGAGACTGCAATTTAAAAATAAAAAATAATTTTTAGGTTAGACACTGTTTTTAAATTATCTAAGCCACTGTTCCCTATCATTAGTACATATAACTTCCTGTCTTAGCTCAGAAGTCATTTCCTTAGGAAAGCCTTCCTCATCTCTGCTAATGCCCTCATCATATCCTATACTTTTCCTGCCTAGCATTTATCACATTCACAATTAATTATCTGTTCAATTATGTGTTAATGATTTTCTGACTGATGGACTTTGAGCTCCACCAGAAGAGGGGTCAGGTGTCTATCCTGCTCAGTATGGTCACCCCAGCTCCTAGCAGAGTGCTTGGCACAGGGCAGGCGCCTGATAAAGTCTTCACTTATTCAATAATTTACTGTGTCTTGAAGTTTTAGCAAATTAGACTGAAGTGTTCCTTTTGAGAAAGAAGCAGCAGTTCAAAAGCACAAAGATGCAGATGCATTTATCTTTATGTCAGAGTAAGCTTCCTGTTATTTACCTTTATGCTTTGAGTTTTTACTGTATCTACTCTGCTGGTCACCTGATGCAAAGACTCTCTTTTCAGAGTGGCAGCTCTATCACCTATCTTAAAGGGTAAAAAGAACAAGAGAAGATTAAAGGTAAACATTAAAACTTACACAATATCTAGCACTTTTTAAGAAATTTGGTCAAACTTATTTTAAAGCTCTCAGAAGACTTTCAGCAGAAATACCAGAAGGAGAATGAGAGAAGAGAGGGAGAAAGGCAACCAAGATAGAAAGCTGAAAATGGTGCTTAGTCTAGTTGATTCATTCTAACTTTAAAACTTTGAAGTATAAAAAGCGAGAGAACTTTAACCTAGAAGCACGCTGAGATACTACTGGAAGAAGCAGTAAGACAGATCTTACTATTATCAATTTCCTGTTCTGGAGAAAAATACAGTGGGGAGGAGAGGAACAGTAGGGGAAGTGTGCGATGGTAAGTTTTCACAATAAGCCTCGAAAACCTTGGAGGCCTTCTACTCATCAAATCATCCAAAATTTCTAGCCCCTGCTTAGTTTAGCAGAGTTCAAAAGCAAGGCTCCCCTTTACAGTAAGGCTCCTTTAATCTTTGCAGATTTGTAGTCAATTACACACCCTGTAAAACAGAAGAGGGACAGGTCTTACTCCACCCTCCAAGCCAAGTCGAGGCAATTTGCCAACACTCCACTATGGCAGAGCCAGTTCAAACACTGCTTTCTATGTGCCAGAGTTTGACTTTATTTGTGGACTTTCTTCTAGCTTTGGTGGTTACTTAAATTCACAGTATAATTTCCTGTATTTGGTTTCCATTTCTTTATATATGCCTCTATCTTTGCTGTATGAAGTCCTTAAAGGTGAGGCTTGCAACTATTAAAAAAACAATCCACATGGATCCCAGCACAAGGTATAGGAGGGAAGGTGATTAAAGAAACACACAATGACGTGAAAACCAGTAAACCATGTGGTCGGCTAGCATCCAGTTTCCTCGCATGTAAAATGGGAGGCTGGACTCAATGATCTCTTAAATTGAGGAGCTGGTCAGGTCTGATCTGTTATTTAAATGGCTTTCCTGACCTTATATGCAAAAGTATATGTGCAGATGGAGCAGGGTAAATCTGAAAGCCAAGTTCTGGCTTAGTGAAATGGCAAAAGATTCTTCAGTTATTGCCATTGACATTGCTCCTACCCTTAACAACTTAAAAAAGATCAAGAAGACCTCACTTAGAAATATGTGCCAGAGCTTCCCTACCACTTGTAACATAATAGAAGGCTTGTTATCTCTGCCAACAACTTGTGGTGAGCCCTGGGCAAGCAACTAAACCTCTCTACATCTCCCTTCCTAATCAGGACCAACACCGCCTGTGCCACGCACATCACAGAGCTAGTGTAAGGATTAGAGGAGACAAGGGTTAAGGATTAGATTTAATACAAATGTGTAGCCTCTCAGATATGCCAGACGACTGTGTCTGAAAAGGTAGTGGAATGTCAGCCACATACAGACAACAGACATTGCGACACAGACACGTCACTAAAGATCTGAAAAGATTTATGATGCTGACGGACAGGTTCGCTTGCTTTTCAATCTTGCTCATAGCAACCAAATCTTTCTACCAAGTTGACTCTGGGTAGACTATTGACTGTCTCATTCATTCTCTTGAATTTAAGATCATTCTGCCTCTGATACCCCACTAGGCACTGTTTATCTCCTCTAAAGAGTTGTGGTGGTACAGGATATTCTGGAGTGGAAATAAATTAAGTTGTGGAATCCAGCTAAAGATGTATGCCAGACAAGCAGGCCAGCAGCACTGAACCACCATTATTATGTCAAGTTACGGAAGTAAACTCCTTTTCCTGTTTAGACCATTGATCGTCTGTCTCTGCTTTGTCCTTCTACTCTAAATCGCTCTCAGTTTACTCCCTCTGGAATTGTTCGGCCTCAGCTAGATAGGAGGGGGACAGAGAGAAGAGGACTACCTACATGATTCACTCTCTGGTCCCAGGAAGCTGAGAGGTTGGGAATTGATTTCCCAATGTTTACCTCACCTGCTGGCAGGAAAGCTTGCTGGGTTATTAACTGAAACATCCATTTACCTAATTTGTCAGAACAAAACTACCTTAGGAACAATACCAATTACTGAATTGGCTCATGTAGCAAAACTATAACAAGTAGTGCATTATTTAGTACAAGATTCAATTATTTTTATTGACATCCTTTAGTTACTGATTACTACTTAAATAGAAATGATGACTATAGGTTTTAAAGGGCATTAGACTCAGGACAGGAATTCTTCTTAGTGAAGATTTCCTTTATTTTCTTCATTGTGATTCTGAACTCAATATCCTTTTTCCTCCTTGTCTTTAGTCTTTAGAGAATCTTAACTTTTTAAGGCTATGCTTTTTAACATTATTAGAATTTACTGTGGCTCAAAATAGCCATTGCTCTGAGTTCATCTGCTATCCATCCATCTTTAACTTGCCCAGATGGCTGTTTTTTATAGTTTCAGGATACTCTGGTCATTCTATGTCTTTCAAGATGTGAAAATAAACGTACTCCACGATTGACATGCAGGGAAAAAAGCAGATTGCTAAATAAGAGATAGGACAGCATCTTGGATCCCTATCCAAGCCCTCTCTGGTCAGCTCTCACGCAGGCATAAATATGCACAAGATGCCAGCTGAAGAACCACAACACTAAGCACAAACTACTCCACCTGCTCCAGAGTCTACTGTGGTCACAGGGAGTTAAGCCAGAGACAAAAAATACCTGTTTCACATTCTCGCTGGGGGGTTTATTGTCAAGTTGTGATGGAGCTGAAGGTGATGGAATAATCTGGTCGCTTCTACTGGTCTCCTTCACAGAGTACTGATTCTGTTAAGAGGAATGGAGGTTAGTATAGGCAATAAGTAATTACTAAATCTACTTAGCCATCTGGGATGATCCCAGAACATTCTAGCTTCTCACTGGGGCATCCACAGATTCATCAACATGGAGGGCAGATCTAGGAATGAGTGGAGAAGCTAGGGAGCTTTTGTACACCTTGAATAGTCCCAATTTCAAGTACATATAACTCATCTCCACAGCATGACAGCAGAGGTTGTGCTATCCTTTTCAGCCTTCATAAATCCTGAATGGAGCCAAGTATCCATTAGGAGATGAACTCAGGCCTCTGAATAACTGCAGACAGCTGACATCTGCACAGTGTGGAGAGACATTTGAAAACAACCCGAGCACTTCAGGGGTTGTTTGTCTCACTTGCCTGTTACTGCATAACAAATCATCCCCAAATTTTGTGGCTTAAAACAACAATAATTTATTATTTCCCAGGATTCTGTGGGTTGTCTAGGCTCAGCAGGGTGGGGGTGTTCTGTTTCACATGGTGTAGGCTGAGGTCACACTTATGGCTGCGTTCTACTGGGAGCGTGAACATCAAAACGGCCTTTCATCCTCTGGAGCCACTTCACTTGGCCTCTCATCATTCCCTAGTCTAAGAGCCCTGCCAAATTCTGGGCCCACAGAACAGTGAGAAATAATAAAGCGCTGTTTTAAGCCCTAAGTTGTGGCGTGATTTGTTGTGTAGCAATAAACAACGGAGACACTTCCCTACTTTCCTTTCATTCTTTTCCATTTTCCTTCCTCCCATTCCATCCTCAGGTGTCTTATTTCGGTATCTCCTGCAGTACATTTGCAAAAGACTGAAGCTCTTCATTCTATCCACCTTAACTGTGTAATTTATAGATTGTGAAAATAACAATAAACACTGCTTACTGTATTTTTTTAAAGATGCATAGTAGGGTCTGTTTAGACAAATGGAAAGTGGGTACCCCTACTATTACTACTCAGAAAAGGGGGGCAGGAGAGTGCTGACTTTCCGTAGTGCTTGTAGATTTCCTTACCAGGTCACTCTGTAGTAACTCCATGGCTTTCTTGTGTTCGTCCACAGTTTTCTGTATTGCCTCCACAGCAAGATGGACACTGTTTAAAGTATTGCCAATGGAGGCTACGCTCTGAACATAAACATATAGTAAGGTTAGTGTTTTTTCCTTTTTAAAAATTTGTATTAGTTTTATTAAGATGTACCTGATTAAAGTGCACATGTTCAAAATGTAAGTTTTGACATACATACACCTGTGAAACTATTAACACAATCAAGATAATACACATCCATCACCCCCAAGTTATCCCTGTCCCTAGGCAACCACTGGTCTACTTTCTGTCACTACATATCAATATGCATTTTCTAAATTTATAGAAAGAGAAGCAGTGAGTATGTACTTTTTAAAAAATATGACTTCTTTCACTTAGTACAATTATTTTAAAATTTATCTATATTGTAGTTACTCAGCTACATATGTAGCTGGGTAGCATTCTGTTGTATGGATACATTGTAGTTCATTTCCCTGTTGATGGACATTTAGGTTGTTTTCAGTGTTTGGCTACTACACATAAAGCTGTTATAAACATTTGTGTACATGTCTTTATGTGGGTATATGGTTATCATCACAATACCTAGAAGGTGAATGGCGGATCATATGGTAGATGTATACTTAACTTTTAAAAAAACTGCCAAACTGTGTTCTGAAATGGTTATACCATTTTATATTCCCACTAGCAGTGTATGAAAATTCCAATTACTCCATATCCTCAACACTGGTATCTGGAGTCTTCAATTTTAGCCATTCTAGTGGGAGTGTATATATCACTGATTTAATTTTACATTAAACACCAATAAATGGAAGTCGGTGTTTTTAATTATTTCAAATATCTTCAAACTATGAATTTCATGTAGCTTATACTGACACAATTAACAGGAAAAAAAGTCTACATATAAAGCCGAAGTGACCGGACAACCAGACAACCGACTGGTTGCTATGACAAGCACTGACCACCAGGGGGAAGACACTCAACGCAGCAGCAGCAGCAGCAGCAGCGGCAGCAGCAGCAGCGGCAGGCGAGCAGCAGTGGCGCAGAGCCCTGGGCTCCAGCTCCTCCCCGGCAGCCTGCCGCTTCCTGCACTACTTCATGCTGTGCGGGATCCATGCGGACAGTGGAGCCCGATGAGCTGGCGGGTAAGGTCGGTCTGCAGCAGCGCGGAGGTCTACTGATCCCCGCAGGCCAGGCCGAGGGACCCCACTGGTGTATGAATCTGTACACCGGGCCTCTAGTATATATATGTAAACAAGCAATTGTCTCAATTTAAAGGACTTTTCCTAGAGGAAAACCAAATCTTTCCTTTAAAAAACCCACTAGTTTATAGATTTGGAACCTATAGATAAGATTCTCCCACAGACTGTAGGCAGGCAGATGGCCAGAGCTAACACTGTAGATTGCCATGGAGTTTGGAGCAAACGATGGCTTTTGAGTGAAAATGGGTGGAACCATTTCTGACTTTGGGAAAACCAGCATTGCAGAGATGAAGTACAAATTCCACTTGGCGTTATTGGTTCTTTTTTTACTTTAGAATCCCATCGGCAACTACTAAGGAGAGTTAGCTATGAGCAGTAGCTTACTTTGCTTTCATTAGCCAAAGGAGCCCAAGAGGACTGGGGACTTGGGAACATAACTCAGAAGCCGTCTTATTAAAAAGCCCTGTCCTAAGGGAACACTCAAAAAAATGTTACTATTTGATGGGTCTTGACCTTTTATTAAGATAGACTGACAATTTTATGATGTCACATTAGTATTTTTAACCAAGCTCTTTTATATTACGCTGATAGCCAAGAATACATTTTCAACATTAAAGAAAATTTATGTGAGTATACTGAGGTTAGGTATTTGAGATGAACTACCACTTCAAAACTGAGCCACTTGTAACAAAAGTAGTGTCTGACATTATTTATGCAAAAATTTGGAGAGACAACACCAATACACTGGTGCTCTGTTGTTACAGGCATTCAAAGACACCTCCTGTTAGAGAACCCTAACTGGCTGGATGTATGATCCCATCAGGATGCAAGAAGATAGTAAGCTCTTGTTTGGTATTCTCGGTAACTGCAAAGTGCCTGGCACACACTGGAAGAAGCTCCACAAATGTTTATTGAATTAATGAATGCAAGAATAAACCAGTTTCCTTCACTAATGCAAGACTGCCAGAGTCGCTTCTGTGCTAAAGGCTACAGAGGCCTATCTTTTTCCTACTTGGCACTTGGAAACAATGGCAAGAAGTATTTGGCCTCATCAACGTGGTCCCTACTTTTGTATTTAAAGTTATAAACAGGTGACATTATTGGACAAATAGTAAGCTATGGAGACCAAGCTCACAGTGGAGGGGCTATAAAATGGCAAGTTTTGTTTCTGTTTTTGGCTTAGGAAGTTCTCCTTTGTGGAGACAATTTATATATTTATAGAGCCTGGCATATAATCAAAGTTATCACACTAAATTTGAAAAGTTAAAGACTAGATTTGACTCCCTTGCTCCAGAATCCCTTCTTATATTTCCTGCTGCAAGGGCTGATGTTGCTTGGGCTCCAAGTAGGCCCCTTCTTCTTCCTACCCACTCTCCCCACCCAGCTCTAAAGATCCCTATGTATTACTCATCTGCTTGGTCACTGCCTCCTGCTCTTGGCCTGAATCTTAGGGATCAAAAAATCAGAAAATCCAAATTATTGTTTGCCTAGGGCAGTGGTCGGCAAACTCATTAGTCAACAGAGCCAAATATCAACAGTACTTCTTCAAAATAGACTCGCCCAGGCCGAAAACCGACTTCTGCACATGGGCCACGAAGTTTCAATCGCACTGTACGTGTGCGCCTGCACGTGGTATTTTGTGGAAGAGCCACACTCAAGGGGCCAAAGAGCCGCATGTGGCTCACGAGCCGCAGTTTGTCGACCACAGGCCTAGGGCATATATGGAGTAAATTGCCTAGAGCAGGGGTGGGAAATGTCCTGCCCTCGGGCCATATAAGCCCAAGAAATCATTTGGTCTGGCCTTGCCAAGGCATTAGGGTTGAGTTAATTAGATGTTTGACCAAATATAGTAGGTTAATTTTTAAGTTGACAATTTTGTATGGCCTTCAGATGATGTTATAAATATCCAAATAGCTCTTGGCAGAAAAAGGTTCCCCACCCCTGGCTTAGAGGATGTGCACCTTTACCTTTATAAAACAACATACATTGTTTACCAAAATGCTTTTTACCATTTTTATTTCCAGCAGGAGTGTTTTAAAGTTTCCTTTGCTCTACCATCCTTGCTAATATTTATCACATCCTAAACTTTAAATGTTTGCATTTCTTCAAATTATCTTTTTCTAAAAAAATAAACAGTAATATAGAAGTTAATAATTTAGAGAAACTCTCATATTGGTCTGCTTTCATGAAGACAAAGTGGATGATGAATCAAAAAGGCAAATAATGAAAAAAGAACCCACACATGTTAACAGAGGAGTCCCAGTATAGCAATCCTGGGAATTGGAGAACCAAGTAAAAAAGGTGCAAATCCACATAAACCAGACCTAAAGTCACCTGTTGCAAATTAAATGCCCAACTAACCAGAACAAAACTGAGATACTTTAAAATCTTTAGGACACAGTGATATGCTCTATTACTGCCCTCCTGGAGCAGGTGATTTCAAATGCTGGGTTTTCAAAGAAAACATCTAAGAAGCTAGAATTACTAGTACAGCAGTTGGTTAATCTCAGTGCCTATACATAGTACTTACCTTCTGAAGTCCCTCTACAGTAGCAGGCAGACTAATTAAATCTGCTGCTGATTTAACATTGGCTTTGAGGTGGCTTACTGCAGAATTCAACAGAGAAATCTGAAAGGAAGAGTAACAAACAATGAAAACAGGATTTGCACAGTGAATTCTTCCTTCACAGACTCTACATTTGATGCTGATGTCAAGGCACCCTTCGATTTTATGCACTTCTGTAATCCAGACATTATACCTTGTTCAGCTCATACTTGAATAGACTGGAGATCTGAGAGGCAGCGATAATACCCCTTCTTTCCCTACCCAATTTAAACACTAGTGCCAAAGAGAGAAAGGCAATTATTCTTTACCCTAACTCCTGGCAGCTACAAAATGTAAAAATCTTAAATTACCCAAAAGATGATTGCAACAGTGATTACAACACAATCCTTCAACAAAACGACAGAAAGAAAGCTAATGATCACAGACCCCCGAAGGATTTCATTTCGGTAAAAAAATAACACCTTAGTTATTTACTGAACTTTTGTTCCTGCCCAAGTGGGAACATATAAAGTAAAAGCCCATCATCACAAAATACAGTCTACAGGAACTATACCCTGTCAACTTGAACAGCACTTTCAACTACTTGGGGATTTAGTTTTGGTTTAACAATGTGATTAATATTTCAAACTCAATAGCTCAACCAAAGCACTACTTTGTACCCCGAAGGTTCTCAATAAATACCCAGTGACTTGCGGACTGATGCACTGAATGTATTAAAATAGGAATTGAATCAAAATAAAATGTCTTCCCTTTTACTATTAGGGGTAGAATTCTACATACCTGGACTTCTCTCTCAGATGGGGGCTGGGGGAACCTTATAATACTCAATTTCAGGCTGCAGAGATCATATTCTTACAACCTTGCAGTGTGGCTCAAACACTCTTGAAAGATTCCTGGTTCCATACTGCTTTCCTATCCCAAATGCTAGAATGAGGACACAGATCTACCAATAGCAATTATATTCAGAGGGCCTCACCGAACAGCCACTAAAGTTTCTGGGCACTTATTCCATAAAAACAAAGTAAACCTGATCCCCTACTCTTTCCTTCAACAAATGTTTGGCATCTCCGTGTCAGGTTCTGCTGCAGGCACTGTGGAGATAGTGGCAAACAAGACCATGAAGCTTTGCTTTCATGGAGTACCCATCATGGTAGGTGAGAGAAAAACAAAGAAGGAAAGTATCAGATAATAAGTACTATGCAAAGAAATTAAGCAGAACGTGGGAGTGAGCAGCAGTGTGTTCTGAACAAGGAGTCCAGCGAGGAGCCTGGGAACTTAGGTTCTCTTTTTCTTTTTTCCCTTTAGGAAGAAAATGTTCAGGGGCATCAAGCTACTTTTCATTCACTCATTACTGCAATAAATATTTATTGAGCCCTATTTTATACCAGGTGTCAGTGATCTTTTGCAGTTTACATTTTAGTGCAAGGAGACAGACAATGTTATATAATATGAGATAGTGGGATATGTTAGGAAAAAATGAAAATAAGGTAACTTGATGAGTTACTGGATAACTACTTTAGATTGGATGATTAGAAAAAGCCTATATAAAGAGAAGACATTTAAACAGATCTAAATAATAAGAAGGAATTAATGAGACATAAATTGAATGAAGTGCATTTGAGGGCAGAGGGAACTGCTGGGGTAAAGGCCCCAGTGCAGGAAAGAGCCTGGCATATCTGAAGAATAGAAAAAAGGCTGGTGGCAGAAGTACACAATATGAGTGAGAAAGGGGGAGGGGAGGGAGAGGTGGAGGCAGGGAGGTAGAGGGTCTATCCCTTTATGGAAGGGAAAGTAACATTAAATAAATAATTAAGTACTAAATGTGATAATAAAGTTCTAAGAAAAGGACATCAGTGCAGACTGAACTGGACAGGATTCATAGAAGTAGGACTCCAATTAGACTCTGACGGAAAGATTTTATAAATAAAAATAAAACAGCTATTCTTTTTAGGTTAGAAGGGTGAGTGTGGCATTGGGTATAGGTAGGGAGCAACAACATTAATAGGCCCAGGAAAACTTTTTCTGCATGGCACTTCTCAAAGTGATGATGATTTATTTACTGGTGTAATTATGTGTTAAGTTTCTCAAGAATGGTAATGGTCTTACAAATGGCCAGTGTGGCTGGCTGGCAGCTACTATTTTTCCCCAAACTAGAGGAGCAGCTGAAAGCCAGTGCCAGCAGGATAAGGTGAGGTACTGTTTCACTTCTCCCCGTGCCCCAAACTCTCTAGGCCTGGTTATCAGCTGCCTCACTGAAAGAGTTAGCTCTGGAGAGCTGACCATTAACTCTCTAATCACCAAATATCACTTAGGACTTCTTACTCACCTGGACCACAAATTGGTCACTAGGACTCAGCTTTGTTCCCATAAACTGTAAAGCTGGATTCCATCTCTCAGCATTCCCTTCTTTTGAGTAGAATAATGCCACAATCCATGGAAAACTACAGCAAAGCTACATGTGTAACTAGAATGGAGAGACAAGGGGCTCCCTCCATTATCCTGGGACTGCTCTAGGATGTCAGATTGGATTCAAGCATTACAGAACTTATCTCTGATTCAAAGAGTCTAAAAAATTGAATTAAGTAGAAATCATTAAAATAACTCAAATTTCAGCCAAAAGATGAGTCATGACAGTTATGCATATTACATGACTTTTTATTAGCAAAATTAAAAATAGCTACTGTAGACCATTTTATACTTTGATATCTGAAATGCTGCTTTTTTTTTGCTTTGGGGTTAAAATAAGGTGTTCTTTCTTTTTAAAATATATTTTTATTGATTTCAGAGAGGAAGGGAGAGAGAGAGAGAGAGATAGAAACATCAATGATAAGAATTAATGATTGACTACCTCTTACACCCTGCCCTTCCCCACTACCCTTTACTGGAGATTGAGCCTGCAACTCCAACTGGGGCATGTGCCCCTACAAGGAATCGAACTGTGACCTCCTGGTTCATAGGCCGATGCTCAACTACTGAACTACACTGGCTGGGGAAGTGTTCTTTACATAGTAAGCAAAAAAGTTACTAAAACAGGCAACCATCAATGATGAATATGAGCTCTAGTAGGAACCTGACATCATACCCTTTCTTTTTTTTTTATTTTTTTTTTATTTTTCGCTAAAAGTATTACAAAGGGTATTACATAAGTGTCCTTTTTTCCCCCGACAGGCTCTTAGCACCTGAATATTTTAATGTTAGCACTGCTACACAGCTGTGCGACCTAGGGCTAGCTACTTCTCGGAATCTGTTTTCTTATCGGTAAAATGGAGATACCACCTCCTACTTCATAGGTCTATAGAAAAAGAAAGGGCTAGCTACTTCTCGGAATCTGTTTTCTTATCGGTAAAATGGAGATACCACCTCCTACTTCATAGGTCTATAGAAAAAGAAAAAAAGATTTCATATATAGTACTTCTAATAGGAGTCTGCATAAAGAAAGCATTTAATGAATGGCAGTTATCATCTCAATTGCCATCACTATCACCAACATCACACAGCACAGAGTTCTGTGTACAACCTTCTAGTGTAATTAGATGCATACACAAACACAGTCGTCCCCCATTATACTCAGTTTTGCTTTCTGTGGTTTGTTACCTGTGGTCAACTGTGGTCCAAAAATATTAAAGGGGAAGTTTCAGAAATAAACTAATTCATAAATTTTAAATTGTATGCCCTTCTTAGTGTAATGAAATCTCCTGCTATCCTGACCCATCCCGCCACATGATTCATCCTTTTGTCCAATATATCCAGGATGTATACTCTACCTGCCCATTAGTCACTTAGTAGCTGTCTTGATTATCAGATGATTGTCATGCAGTGCTTGTGTTCAAGTAACCATTATTTTACTTAATAATGGCCCCAAAGCTCAAGAGTAGTGATGCTGGCAATTTGGATATGCCAGAGAAGCTGTAAGTGCTTCCTTTAGGTGAAAAAGTGAAAGTTCTCCACTTAATAAGGAAATAAAAAAATCAAATGCTGAGGTTGCTAAGATCTATGTTAAGAACAAATCTTCTATTTGTGAAATTGTGAAGGAAAAGAAATTCGTGCTAGTTTTGCTGTTGCACCTCAAACTGCAATAGTTATGGCCACAGTGAGTGTTAAATGCTTAATTACGGTGGAAATGGCATTAAATTTGTGGATGGAAGACATGAACAGAAAGTGTGCTCTGACTGATGGTAACATGGTGTGCCAGAAAGCATTGAGCCTATATGAAGACTTCAGCAAGGTGTCCCCTGAAACGAGTAATACCCAGCCATTTCTTGAAAGTAAGAGATGGTTACACAGATTCAGGAGATCTGAACTAAAAAATGTAAAAATTACTGTAGAGAGACTGCAGTTATATAACTTTTATTACAGTATATTGTTATAGTTGTTCTACTTCATTGTTACTGTTGTTAATCTCTTACTGTGCCTAGTTTATAAATGAAACTTGATCACAGGTATGTATGCATAGAAAAGACACAGTATATAGAAGGTTTGGCACTATCAGCAGTTTCAGTCATCCACTGGCGGTCTAGGATAAGAAGGAACTACTGTGACTATCACATCATAAGATATCTGGACCAAGTACCAAAAAAACAGATATAGAACATACTATAGAACAGTGGTTCTCAACCTTCCTAATGCCGCGACCCTTTAATACAGTTCCTCATGTTGTGGTGACCCCCAATCATAAAATTATTTTCGTTGCTACTTCATAACTGTAATTTTGCTACTGTTATGGATTGTAATGTAAATATCTGATATGCAGGATGTATTTTCATTGTTATAAATTGAACATAACTAAAGCATAGTGATTAATCACAAAAACAATATGTAATTATATATGTGTTTTCCGATGGTCTTAGATGACCCCTGTGAAAGGGTTGTTCGACCCCCAAAGGGGTCGTGACCCACAGGTTGAGAACCGCTGCTATAGAAGATGATGACCTCAAGGTCCTTGCTGACTCTTGTTGACATATCCTTCCTTACTTCTGGCCTCTTTCCACCAAACTACCCTATTAATAAAAGCCTATGTGGTCATCACGCCCTCATGACACCCTCATGCCATAATAAGCGATCAC